TGATCTTATTGTTAGGTAAACAAGTTAGCTTGGTGTAGGCAAAATAGTGCAAAATAAATTTAAATAAAACAGATGAATAACTATTCAACATAGCAGTGGGAATGCCTTAACATAGTATGTGAAAGAATAGCATTTACGAAGCAAATGCTGTTAAATAAGGGAAAAAGCCAATTTTCCAGGTACCTTGTCTTAGTTTTAGCTTTGATGCGCTGCATCAGTGATTCTCCAGTTGAAATTCTTCCGGAAATACCCCCGACTTTTTTTAGCCTAGAGATAGTCTTTCCAGGTAAAAATTCAAAATCAGAATCAGAGTCCTCTTTTCGATATTTTGCAGCTTTGGAGCGTTTCGCATTCTTGCGTTTACCTACGTTGATAGCTTTACGTTTTCCACCCTTCGTAAGTGAATTAGAAGCATACGCAATATTCTCAGCTGTTTCATCCATTACTTTTTCGTCATGAGAATTTTGAGTGACTTGCTGTTGAAGTTCGTTTGGATTAGCCTTTAGGGCCAGATCAACAGCCTGTTCAGGCACAGTTATAGAACGAATCACCCCTCCAGAATTAAGATCAAGAGCCATTTTTTCAAGTATAGGGAGGTTATTAGACAATCCGTTGCACATAACTTTACTAGTCCGAGGATCAAGCAAAGAATCGGATGTAGAGGAACTTGAACTAGAAGTAGATGTCGAAGAGCATGAAGAGGTATAATGCTTTGGTATGTCTACACGAACACCTGAGATCGAGGCACAACGAGAGGCACTGACGGTAGCTAAGGTATTAGCCATGCTAATAAGTTTTGGGGGATAGCGGTTTGTGTCAGAATGTGAGCTATTGCCAGAACCCTGTGTATTGCATAGACGAATAGCCGTTTCGGCAACTATGATCGGTGGAGAAGCAGAAGGCGAAGGCGGTAGGTTGCTGTTTGAATTTGAATGATGATTGGGAGACAAAGAAGCGGGTGATAAAGCAGGAGGAGGGGGCGAACAGCAGCCCTGCTCTGTTCTGGAATGAGAAAAATAACTAGAAATAGACAATCCAGTGATAGCTGGAGATATATTGATAGAAGCAGATCCAAGAACATAGGAGGACAAAGTTTCAGCGATCGTTGATTCGGATCCACTTTTCGGAATTCTAGACTGTGTATCCATTGCTATGAGACAAATAAGTTTAAAAAGCAAAAATAACCAAATTGCTTTGGGTGAAAGAAGAGAAAAACTATGTTCACCTTATATCCTAAAGAGTTATAAGGGCAAAAAACAGTGGAATAGCGTGGCAAAAGTGCTAAAATTAAGCTGCATAGTACTATGAGGGATAGCACAGAAGAGCGCGCCACGTTGAGACCAAGTAAGTCAAAGCAACAAAACCATTAATAAATTTTAAACCAAATTAATAGCTAAAAATTAATCTACATTTTGTCATTTAGTTTGATACAGCTTATTATTTAATAAAAATTTAAAAATAATTTTTTTAGAATTTTAATATAATTTTAATCTTATTTATATTTTTGTATTGTTTATCCTTACTGTTT